TTTATAAAACTTGATGGAAAAAAATGAGGGCTTTGGGGTCAAACTCGGTCTCTGCCATTTTCTCACTGTGTGGCCTTGGTCAAGTGACTCAATGTCTCTGAACGCAGCTTCCTCATTTCTAACACAGATAAGGCCACCCTCTGAGTGTGGCCATAAAAATTAAGTGAGCCCATCGAGTCCAAGACTTCCCTTGTGTCCCTTGGTCCACACAGCCATGACCTCTGTGCCCGCCGCTCGGGCTGTGCCTGCGGGGACCCCCCCACGGGGACGTGCAGTGATGGAAGAAGGAGCTTGCTGGATGGGGACAGTCACTGCTAGCACAGCACTCACGCCAGGGTCAGCTGGCCTGCGGCCCGGCCCACAGGCTCAGGAACCTCTGCCCAGCACTTCTGATGCTGCGCTTGTGGCGTTTCTGCAGTTGCACGGGTGGTTGCTTTTCTCCCAGGAAGGCACCGTGAGCAAGGCCTCAGTAAGTCCTGCACAAGGTCAGTGGGACCATTCAGGGCCTCCCGGTGCCGGGTCCGGCTCTGGCCATAGGGGACCTTTGACCCGGTTTCAGGCTCCGGGAATCCACCCACAGGCACAACAGGAAACTGACCCAAAGCACACCCGGGCCTGGGCTGTGGAAGTGACTAAGCCCGCACGATTGTAGTCAAGGAAACGAGCTCAAGTGTCTACACAGACCCCACTGCTGAGGGCGCGGAGCCAAGTCTTAAAAGCATTCTGCCCACAGGGAATTCTCGGAATGTCTTCCCTCAAGGGCCGCGGGAGGAAACTGACCGTTTGTATTTACCGGTCGTCCATACCAGGCCGCTCACTCTGGCAGGGTCCCCGGGCGCTGTCCGTCAGGGCGCCGTCCGTCAGGCCGCCGGGCACAGCTGGGCAATTCAAGCTACCCCCCGCCGCGCCGCCGCCGCCATCGTCACCGCCACCAAGCACACTGCCGCGGGGTAAAGGAGCTTGTCCGCCAAGTTAGAGGCAAATGACCAACTCCCCAACCCCTGTCTTTCCTCTTTGAGAAATTTACAATAATTCATCGGAAATTCAACAAAACTTTGAACAAGTCTGTATGTATACATCCCAATTTTTGTCCAGTGTTTTATAAACCCATAAGGGTATCTGTTTCAATGGTAATGATTAACTTCTAGTATTAGTAAGTATAACTTTGATTGTAGATATGGAGCCTCCCTGACACTGGACACGTTTATTAATTTTTAAAAATGTGACATTATCACAGAATCTCTTGGGTCAGGTAGAGGAAGACGGTAAAACACTTTCATTCTGTATGCGTGGATGAGGCGCCCAGAGATGGGGTGACTGGGAGACGCTCACCCTGCAAGCAATACTTGTCTCCATGAAGAGCATTTTAGAAATATTTTACTTTTTTAAAGATTTTATTTATTTATTTTTAGACAGAGGGGAAGGACGCAGAGAAACATCGATGTCCAAGAGATACATCTGTCAGCTGCCCCTCTCATGCCCCAACTGGGTACCTGGTCCGCAACCCAGGCACGTGCCCGGACTGGGAATCGAACCGGCGACGTTTCGGCTCACAGGCTGATGCTCAAACCACTGAGCCACACCAGCCAGGGCTAGAAACATTTTAAAAATGAAAAATAGGGCAAATTTACCCCTGTGTCCTATGCTCCAGTCTCACAAACCAGTTACCACAGAATATTCTGAAAAGAAATTTGGAAACATAGTTTCTGCTGTTTCCTCTCTGTCCCCATGGGACCTGCCTCATCTGAGGTTCCAGAATATTCCAGGAAGGTGGCTGCTTCTGGTGGGTCCTGTAGGTGGATGTGAAGTTGGGTTCCCTAGGGCCCCCGTGAGCTGGTTTCGGCACCACTGTCTCGGCGTAAGACCCAGGCTTGGGGGCAATGGCCAGTGCCCAGACCCCCCAGGCCCTCCCCGCCTGCTCATAGACGCTCAGTGGGAGCGTGTTGGAGAATTCACAGCACAGGGCTTCCCTTCTAGGAGCATCAAAGCCAGCAAACGACCTCTGCAGAGCAGAGCATGGAGGACCTGACCCATCGGGAGGTGTGGTGGGTGAGAACCAGTGTCCTTCCTGGGCAGAGCGGCAGTCCGGCTCCTTCGGTTGGAGAGGTGCCGAGTGGCGGGGAGGGCAGCGTGCTGGGAGCGGGGAACGGTCACCACGGGAGGGGAAAAGCCGCTCTTACAGAGAGCTGAGCTGCCCAGTGTGCTCCGCGCGCTGGATGAGCAGGGCTGGGAGGTTGTGAAGCAGGGCTGGGAGCAGCAGTGAAGGCAGCCTGGCCTTTTGCATAGATTTGCAAGATGTTCCTGTTGCATGTTTTGGTCAACTGCATTTTCCTGTCAGCCCAGGTCGTCCCTCATTCTCCCTCCATTTGGTCCTATAAGGCAGTAATGCAATACCTAAATGTGTGCATTCCTTTGTAAAAATTCCAACCCAGGAGTGGGCGTTAGTTTACAATTTGTTACAAGCCTCTCAAAGAGCCAAGGGGGTGTGCATCCCTCGGAAAGGTGGCCGTGAAGAGTGAGACTGGTTCCACCAGTCACACAGGACAGACGGGCCCTCTCATAACTGCCACCATGGCTACCCCCCGTGCGCACATGTGCATGTGGGCTTGTGCTGGAGTAGGGAGACGGGAGCCTGAGGTACCTAGCAATCCCTGGGGTGCTGGCGAGCGGGCCAGCAGGGTTTGAGTTATTCAACTGCATCGATCTGGCTGCAGACCAGAAAATAATTAGAGGCTTTTTCCAAATAAGGAGATTTGGGGGGCAAAGGAAAGCCACGCCCCCAATCAATCAGGGCCTGTGGGATGAAGGGAGAGCTAGTGTGTAATGACCAGGTGACTTGAAGAAAGCTCACAGGTTCATTCTAATTCCACTTTCTAATGTCTGAGCTGCCCCACAAGGGCTGGTTCTGCCCTGCCTGGCTCCCCTGGGCAATGCGGTGATTTCAGCTCCCTGCCAGCTTCCTGTCCTGTTCCTCACCAGGGGCTCCTGGTCCAGCTGCCTCCCAACTCCTTCCTTTTTCTCTAAGGAAATCAGGGCCATTGGGGTAAACTTCTTTCGCCCTCCTGCTGCTCTCAGCCCCACAATGTCAAACTCTCCCCTCCTGGTCTCCGGCCTCTACGCAAGGAATCCCCGCTCCTGTGGGGGCCCGCCCTCCCACCCCTTGCTGTGCTCCTGCCTAACTGAACCCTCCTCAGGGAACTTAGGGTCACCCTCTAGCTGGGCTTTCTTTCCCCTGCACTTTTTTCCCAAACCAGCTTCCTCTCCACCTGTTGCTGGACGTGATATTTGTAAAATGCAATTTTTTCACTATGTGCTTCCGACAGTGTATTGCTCCTCTTTTTCAGTGGCTCAATCTACTACCTGCAAAGTTCTAGTTGCAGGCCCCAGCCCACCCCTGCCTGCCCCTGCCCTCACACCACCCCCTTGCACCCCACCTCAGGGTACGGAGGGAGCTCCGAGCTACTACGTGCAGGCCTCAGGACCTTTGCGCAAGGCGTGCACGCAAGTGCGTGCACATACACACTTCTGCATCTATTATTACACTAACCTCTTCTTTTTAGGCGGCACCTCACTCCCCGTCTTTCGTACTTGGTATCCAGGGCAGATCCATCACAATACCTGTGGTTCTCTTTGCTCTGTTGTTCCAGGGATTTTGCATCATAGCTGACAACAAATGCCACTAGCCTGTGAACCAGGTTTAGATCCTAATCTCAGATCTGCCGAACTTGCCCGTCTTCTTAGCAAACTCCCCCTTGCCAGGTTCCAAGGCACCCCATGCAGAGACGGGGAGGGGCTGAGGGGGACCAGTGAGCACTCCTGAGCTGCCGGGGCAGAGCCAGAATCCCCGCTGGGCTGACGCATGACTGGCCCCTCAGCAGACTGGCGAGGTAACAACGGGCTAAGTGCCAGCTCTCACCAACTCAATTCAAGGGCAAATCCCCTTCATGTAGCCGCAGAAAATACCAGTGAATCATCATTTTAGGATTTAGGCCTTGCAGAATTGTAGGCTAGTTATCCTGTGGCATTTCCTACCGACGGGGGCTGACTGCAAGGTGAGGGGCGCAGCGCAGGGGGGCGGGGCCGCCGGACACAAGCGTGGCTACAGCTTAACGAGTAACACATCCGCTCGAAGATGCGGAGTGTCCAGGCCCTCCTGACTGGGGTGTGAGTTGTGGATTTCTAGGGACTTTCCAACTATGTCAAAACCAGGCACCGTCATGGTGGAGGACACACGGCGATCCTAGAAATCACCTTTCCACACGCACAGGCGCTAACAGGCGTGCACACACAGGCACATGCACGCGCGCACGCCCAGGGAGGCCGAGACGCCCGCCCCACAGTATCCCTGGAATCCGGCTCATTGGAAAGTCCCGCGCACCGCGCTGTCGCGCTGCGTCGCCACGCCGGGAGCATGTCAGCACCGGAGAAAGCCGCGCCCGGTGCCCCCCGGCAGGGGCACCGCGCTGCGGCCACCCGCGGGAAGTCGCGGGCGGGGTCGGGTGGCGCGCGCACGTGGCCGGACCTGAGTCCAGAGCGGTGGCGAGGCACCGCCCACAGGGGCTGGACGCGCGGGGCCTTTAAGGGGGCGGGGGTGACCGGGGCTCCAGCGAGCGAGGCCCCTCCCCCTCGGACCCGGTCCCGCCCCCAGCCGGAGCCTCTCCGGCCACTGCTGGGCAGCAGGCGGGACGCCGGGGGCGGCGCGCGCTGGAGGAAGCGCGCCTGGCCGCGGCCCCGGGAACTGCCCAGACGCCGAGTCGGGAACGCCGATCGCCGCGTCCCCATTGCCCGGTGTGCCGGGTTGGGGCACAGTCCCGGGCTGTGGCCGCCGTGTGCGGGCCGGCTTTTCCTCCTGCTCGCCCCGCCCGGTCTCCCTGCTCCCGGCTCCGGGCCCCGCGTCCGGGGCCCTGGGCCCGCGACGCCAGCCGCCCAGATCCAGCCCTCTGCGCCCCTCCGCGCACCCTGCCGGCCGCAGGCTGATGTCCTGAGCCCGCCGCCGCGGGCTCCGCGTCCCGCAGGGGCTGCCCTGGGAAGTTGTGGGGCGAGGCGCGCCGGGTATGCGCCATCACCATGTCCCGCCTGGACTCGTGGCTCGGTGAGGTCCAGTGGCTGGTCTTGGTGTCGCTCTTCGTTGTGGCCTTGGGCACGGTGGGCCTGTACTTGGCGCAGTGGGCGCTGGCCAGGGCGCGATCTCGGCCCCCGCGGCGGGCGGCGGAGCCGGGCGAGGACCAGCGCCCCGAGTCGGACGTGCTGCTCTGCTGGATTCTGACGCTGAACAGCTGGAGGAGCCAGTGGCAGGCCGCTTGGGTGGCCGCCCTGAATCAGGAGGCCAGACGGAAAGGGGTGAGTTTCTGCGAGAGCGGTGGTGGGGCTGCGGGGCCGGGCGCGGCTGCCGGCCGTCGGCCCAGAGCCTCCTGTACAGCCTCAGGCAGCCCTTGACTGATCCTAAATGAGCCTTCCCCTGGGAGGGCATCCTTGGAAGTTAGGAGAAAGATCCTGGGGCGCAGACGACCCTTGACGGGGACTCAAGACTAAGTGACAAGACCCTATTTGCCACACATGCGGTGTGTCAGGTACTGGCTGTGGGAGAGACTTGTCATAGGGGGCAGTTCCCTTCTGGATCCTATCAGCCCTCCCTGGAGTCCCAGGCGGATTCTGGTTCCCGCCTGGGCACTTTCTGCTTTTGCACCTGATGTATGAATAACTGTGACCCAAATACGCTTCCATCTGTAGAGCTGTATTTCACCAAGAATGTATTTCTGAAAGACTGGCTTGCATTTCCTGGCGTGTGAACTTAGTGACCATTTGTTGAGAGCCAGCCACGGCCAGGCATAGTATGAGGTGTTTTAGGTGCACGTCTGGGAATCCTCACATCCCCGGGGCCTGCCAGCACTTCCCATGTGTGGAACTGAGGTCTGGAGAGGTTAGGTAACCCACCCAGCCACTCGGCGAGCGCTCGGCCCACGCTCGGTGGAGCTAGCCTTGGAATCCAGCCACCTCCCACCCCAAACGAAACTCAGGGGCTTGTGACCCAACTGGTGCCGCGCATTCCTGTGGTTTTGTTTCTCCCAGAATTAATGACATGGTGACTTATTTTTACTTCTAAGACATCTCAGTTTAATGACAAATTCCTGGTGTCCCCTGTTTCTGGGCAGGAGCTAGGGCTGGGTGGGAGTGGGGAGATGCCTCCCAGCCTCTGCCGGTCCTCTTCGCATCAGGCCCTGCCCAGGCACGTGCGGCCAGGGGAGAAGCCTGTGGCCCTGGCTTTGGAAGTAGCGAATGCAGTATGCCCGGACGCATCAGCCTTCGAAGTGTCCCAGGATGGGCCCTGTGCCTGGCCTTTGTGCCGCGGCCTTCACTCACACGTCCATGGGTTTGAAAAACAAGACAGCGGTGCATATGAATGAAAAAAAATGCTTCAAGGTCAGTTGCCTGCTGTCTGTCTTGGTGCCTAGAATCTGTGCCTCTAGTGTCGAGAAGTTGGACATTTCCTGGCCCTGGGAACTGCTGCATCTCTTGTGGGAGCCCTAAGCCATGTGACCTCACCCAGGGGAGCAAACACAGACCTGTTTCCCCACCAGGCTGCTGTCGCTGACCATTGATTGACCCAGTATCACAGATCAGGTTCTGGGGCTCAGCCCACCTTGGCTGGTGGCATGAGCGAGCAGGAGCCTTGTCCCTGCTCTCTCTAAAATTCAGGGGAGCGCTGCGTGAGCAGCCTGCAGGGTCTGTCCCTCTAACCCAGGGCCTCCTCGTGGAGTTTTGGGTGCAGCGGCAGGACCCTGTCCTCTGTGTGTGAGGGGAGGAGCCCCCCTTAGCCCATTCTGCTCTCATTTACTGCCGTTTCTCGATTGGCTTCAGAAAACGGGATTGCCTTAGACCCCGCTCCCAGATTGCCCTGGGGTGTTGGAGATTCCTCTCTGGAAAGTCTGGTTGGTCAGGTGAAGCGGCGAACCCTAAAGGAACCGAAGGTTTCGAAAGAAAACCTTTCACCAAATCACTTGACTTCGTGGGAGCAGGGCGGGCCATGTGTTCAGGGAGTGGAAAGAGAGATTGGGCTCGTTTGTGTTCTCTCTGAGCTTTCTCTGTTCTCTGTCTGCTATTGACCATGCACCGCAGAGTTGGAGACAGCAGTGTCTCCAGACTTCTGCCTGGGAGGGGCTATAATGTACGGGGTTCAAGCTCAAAGCAGCGCAGGGGCATCCCTGACGGCCTTGGGTGGCTGTGGACTGGCTCTGGTTGTGTTCCCAGTGCCCGGGAGCGTTGCTTGTCTTGAGTTCATATGGAAGGTCTTGCAGGCAGATGGGATCTGGGGAACTCTGCTCCTTCCTACCGACTTGTCACATACCGTCCCCGTCCTAGGCCGGCCCTTTGCCGCCCTGATGGCAGTGTGGCTGAGCAGGCGTGTGTTTCTGCATGTTCCCTGACCACAGCGGCCAGCTGTGCAGTTTCTCTGTGCCCTCCCTCCAACTCGATTCCCACTAATCGCGGATTAGGGTTGACACCCCAGGCCTGCCCAGAGAGCCACGGCTTAGTGGCCCCTCCAGCCTGTCCTGTCATCTCTCTGCCCTGGCTGGGGAAGAGACTGCTTCTCAGCCTGTCACTGAGGGGGTTGGGGACAGGCTAGAAGTCATTAATCACACCCAGCATCTTTGTGAAAGGTGGAATTCTCTGTCGAATGCAGACAGTAACTCCTCTAAGTCTTAGCCTGGGTTTGGATTTTTAAGACCGAAAGGAGTCCTACACTCTTCGAGCAAAGCCCCTGCCTTCTCCAGAGGGGAGACTGAGGTCCATGAGTGGGAGAGACTTGCCGGGCTGACCTAGACCCAGGCCCGGGTCTTCGTGGCCCGCCCACATCTGTGCACACATTCCCCGGGGACAGCAAATTTGACGTGGAGACCCATATGTTGCTTTTAACTGAGGTCCAGCAAGAAAGGATACCAAGGGGCCCTGACCGCAGTGGCTCAGTGGGTTGGGTGTTGTCCCGCAAACCTAAAGGTCACCTTTTCGATTCCCCATGGGGCACATGCCTGGGTTGCAGGCCAGGTGTCTGTTTGGGGGAGTGTGAGAAATTGGTGTTTCCCTGCCTCTCTTGTCCCTCCTTTCCCCTCTGTCTAAAATATAAATAAATAAAATGTTTTTTTTTTAAGACAGGATACAAAGGGTTCAATTGTTTAACATATCACCCCCAACCAAGGGCCCCTTTCTGCTGGGACCTGAGGATTGAGCGATAATCGTGGAGCCTCCTTTGACTCTGGGTGACCCACGACTGGGACAGTGCAGGTTCCTCGGGTGGGGCAGCCCTGTGATTCCCACCCTCACTCTGGAGCTATTTTTAAATTAGACAGGATGGCGAGCTGGAGAGACTCGGGAGGACGCCATTGCTGCCCTGCCAGCTGGCCAGGCAGCTGCCAGGTGTTGGGGAGCACAGGCGAATTGCCTGGGGAGCTTTGAAAAAGTGCACATGCCTTCCTCCTCCCTGCAGTTTGGACTCAGTAGGGTGGCGGGGGCACGGGGAGCTTCCGCACGCCAGCTTCTCGCTAGGGAGAGGCTGCTAGATACACACCTGTCCTGCAGCCAGCTGTCCGCCAGTCGCCCAGTACCACCTCTCCGCTCTGATGTTGAAACCACCAAGTTCCAGCTGATCTGTTCCCAGTTCTGTCATGGAGAACAGAGACCCTGGAACTGTCTCTCTCTGTCACTAGATTTGGAACAAATGCCCTTTTATCCACAAGCAACAGCTGAAGGTTTCCCTTTAGTTCCCCTGCGTAACCCTGGCATCTACAAAAGGGTGTGCAAGTGACAGCCCATTACCCCAGCGACGGTCCTCAACCCCGTCACCCACCTGGGAGCCTCTGGGTGGCCATTTCCGCAGCTGCTCACTGGCTCTGGAAGCCAGGCACATGTGGCACGGGGGCCCTGGCAGCGCAGTGGGACGGTGCTCCCCGCCCTCGGTGGGCGCCTCGCACTGGGAGTCCTGACCCCACAGTGGGGCTGCCTGCTGGACTTGTCTAACAATGGGCCACCCCGAAGCTGCTTGTTCCTTTAGTCCTTTGTCTCAGGACTTTTTTTTCAGATGGATGTCCTAAATGCAAATGACCAAGGTTGGGACAATTTGTGGTTTGGTGGGGGTGGGGGTGGGGACAGGAAAGATGCTGTGTGAACTTAGAACAAGTTATTAATAGCTCTAACTTGCAGATGAGCTCCAGCAATTTAAAATGCAAACAAAGTGACAAGCCTTCAGAGCTTCCCTTCCGGTCACTCAGTGAGCTTTGAGTGGTGCACACAGAAACCCGAGCTCCCTGACCATCCACAGTGGCCACGGAAGTCAGCTGGCAAGAATATGAAGGCGACCTTGGATTAGGGGCATGTTTGGGCCCCTCCCTGCACCCTTCACTGTGACCCCACCCCCCCACCGGGTCTCATTTTTGTGACTCAGACATTCAGGGTTCTCTCCCATGGGAAGGCCCATGGGCTGTTCCTTGTGTCTGGAACACTTACATCACCTTTGCCCTTATTTAACTTCCGTAAACCTTTCAGAAAGGTCCCCGATCCATCCATTCTTCCAGGATGCTGCCCCACCCCCACCCCGGCCGCCTGGGCTGGTCCCTGAATCGTATTGGCACCTTGTGGTCACTGGTGTCTCGTGGGATTGTGAGCTAGACCAGAGCCCTGTCCGTCCAGACACAGCCCCTCTGGTGCCCAGTGGAAGGCTGTCTGAGAGGAGGCGGTGGGGGGAGCGGGGCGGGGGAGGGTGGGCGGTGGGATGAATGGCAGGGCCTGTTAGAAACTTGTTACTGGAGGGGGGAGACATGGGGCTCATGCGCCTCCCCCCATCTGGACACAGGCCTTCCCAGCCGGCCCGGAGCCAGCCAAGCCTGGGCAAAACAAGTTGTTTGATGTGCTTTGTTTTCACGTCTAAAGAATCAGCATTAAAGGAGGCTGGCTCACTGATGACTTTGCAAATTGTCCACATGAAACCCAGGAATAGGCACCCGTTCAGGTTGTTTTCTGCGCTCACCCGCTGGAGGGAAGGAAGAGTGGGTGGGATGTTTTAACTAAAATGCGGCCAAAGCTAACTTGACTCCTAGTTGGCCCCTCTTGAACTGCTGAGTTGGGAGGGGACTTCTTGAGCCCCTTGAAGAGCTGTGTTCGCTGCTCCGGCTGAAAGCTCTGGGGCTGCGTGACCTTGGGCAATACCTGACCTCTCTGTGCTTCATTTGTAGACGAGGATAAGTTTGGGTTCAGTAGGGAAAACAGAATCCGCTCTGGGTGAGATTCTGGTTTATCCATGTGAGGCTTTTAGCAAATAGAGTCAATAGAGGTGGGCTGCTTTCTTCTAAGGTCTCTTTAAAAAAAAAAAAAACCTTTATTTTTATTGCACTTAGATTTATAAAAAGTTGCAAAAATAATTCAGAGAGTTTCCATATATTTCTTACTTGGTTTCATATAACCATAGCACAATGTTACTGTAATTTACAGTAGAATGACATTAACATTATAACAGGACAAGAAACTAACATTGGCACAGTGTAACTATAATTCATGGTTCAATGATATTAACATTGTAACAGTATAAGACATTAATATTGGCACCATGTTACCATAATTCACGGTACAATGATGTTAATGTAACAGGATAAGAAATCAACATTGGCACAATGTAACTATAATCCATGGCACAGTGGTATTAACATTGTAACAGTGTGAGACATTAGCATTGGCAATGGTCTTTAACTAAACTGAAGGCCTTTTGTGAATTCCACAGATTTTCCACGAGTGTCCTTTTCTTGTTCCAGGGTCCCATTCCGGTCCCACATGCCATTAAGTTGTTGCTTCTCCTTAGTCTCCTGAAGTCTGGAACAGTTTTGTAGTCTTTCCTTGTTTTTCACAACCTTGACACCTCTGAAGAGTATTGATGATTCTTTTGCCAAATGTCCCTCAGTTTTGTGTTTTTACATGACTGGACTGAGGTTACACAAACCACAGAAGTCATGTGCCCCTTTCCATATCCTATAGCACAAGGTTCATGACGTCGTTGTCACTCACTGCTGGGGACGTTGGCCTTGCTCCCTTGGTAAAGGTGGTTTCTGCTGTTTTCTCTTTTTCGTCTTCTATCTCTTCTTGTACAATACCATTCCCTCTGGAGTTAAAGGTACATTGCAGAGCTACTTTGAGACCATACGCACCCTGTTACCCTTCACACTTTGCTGACTGATTCTGGCATCCGTCTGTAGGATGAGTCTGCAACAATGACTTCTGGGGAGCTGGCTTAATGGCGATTTTTTTCTTTGTTTTCGTCTCTCCTTCTACATTTATGCGTTGGAATTCCATTGCAACAAAGAGCTGCCACTTCTCCTCCATCTATATATTTATTTGATTATTCACATCAGTGTGGACTTAAGGGTGTTTATTTTATTCTGTACCTGACAATCCAACACTGTCGCTATTTGTTTTGTTGCTTTGGGTGTTGTAGCCTTTGTTTTCTTTCATCAAGATAGAAAGTTATATGTGTGTGTGTATGTAGCACTTCCTTACTTCATGGTTCCACAGATGCGTTTTCTAGACTCATCTTGTGTTTTTCCCTCTTTCGGCCCTGGGCTCAGCCGCGCCCCCAGCCCCCTGATGCCTTCTGTTGGAGAAGTCTTTAGAACCCAAGATCTGGGCATCAGGTGTGCTCATCACTGATGCCCACCTGATGGGGTCTCATTGCTTTTACACTTTTTTAGTGGACAGAACTGGGAAATGGACGTGTGCATACAACACACTCATGCACATGTCAGTATTTTTCTATCTTACTGTCCATATTTTCAGAACCATGACTCAGTGCTGACCCCTTGGCCTCTGGGTGACCCGTGCAGCGTCCATTTCATCGGCCCTTTCTGTGTTTTGAACTTCCTTCTCCAGGAGGGAGGCATCAGGTGCGTGTTATCTAGGACATACTTATTTATTTGGTCAAGCGTAGCATTCACCTAGAGTAGCTTCTGAATTGCTAACCGGTGCCCCCATGAGAAACGCGCTTACTGCCTAGATTACAGCATTTACATGCAGTCAGGATATTGTTTACCAAAGCATCTTAGGTGAGACCTGTTAGACCTGAGTTTTTCCACTGCTTTGGGCCATTATGATATTCATTTGTAATGCAGTTCAGTTCATTTATTAGTGTTTGCCTTCCATCTGGGGTTCCTCCCACATCCTGATTAAAGAGAAAAATCTGTATTTACCCAGCGACCTGGGATGCCACCCTTGTCCCACGCTAAGTTTGCACAGGTATCGGGGTCTGTTCGGGACTTCCTGCTCCTGTCCGCCGGTCCGTTTCTGTGTTCATGCCCCAGGCCTCCCTGTCGGAAAAGCAGAGGGTCTGCCGTGTGTGCTGATGCCTGGCAGGGCTAGTCCCCTGATGGCTTTCCTTTTTCAGTGTTTTCCTGGCAATTCCCGCATGTCACTTTTCCAGGTGGATGTAAGATCTGGCTTTAGTCTAAACAGGATAGCGTCTGAAACGCAAGTCGGTGGTTGAGCGTTGTGCGCACGCTAGGCTTCCTGAAACTCGACAGTTAGGCGGTCGGAAAGGGAGAGGGAACCTGTGTCCTTGTTTTAACTTAATCATTTATTTCCTCTGTGAGACCATCCATTGACATTAGCTTTCCCGGCAGAATCTTTCCAGGTTTTCAGTCCCTAAGGCGGCGAGGTAAGAGGGCATGGGCTGCACCCGCTGATGCCCAGGGCCGGGGGCTGCATCCAGGCTGCCCGCGGCACCGGTGGCCCTGGAGGCTGGGACAGGAGGCGCATTGTTTCGCCGTGCTGTCCGGCAGCTGCCACCGCTCTGGCGCCCCGCCTGGCCCTGGGCTCTGTGCTGGGAGCCGCCCTCTCAGCCGGCCGGCCTGGCACACGGGCCCGCGCCATCACCAGGCCCCCGGCCGGCAGGTCACAGCAAAACACGCACCAGCCTTGGAGGGTGTCTGCGGAGCAGCCCGAAACTGAGAGTCCATCGCTCTTGGGAAGTGTGTTTAATTCTCCTCTGAGGATTTTTGGGGAGGGAGGTCGGCGGTGCTGGAACAGGGCAAGGGGTCCTTGAAAGTGTTCTGTGCCCGTTCGCTTTCCTTTGGCTCACGGAGCATTCGCACCCTCCCATCCCCGTGGCATCGTTACCTGCTCATTTGCGCTGTGTCTGCCAGAAGAGCTTGTGAGCCTTTTGCAGAATTTTATTTTCCCACCCCGATCATGTCTTGTGGGCACCAGCTCGCCACCGCGAGGAGGCTCCGAGACAGGTGGAGAGTGGTAGGAAGCCGCGGGCAGACGTTTTTCTTGCAGCCCCCAACACGACACACGGCGGGAAGCATTTGAAGAAGAGTTTCGTTTCAGGGTCATGCTGTTGGCAGGAGTGTTAGGCCTCTCAAGAGTATTTATTTTAAAACAGACAAGACCTGGTTGGGTATCCCAGTCCGGGTTCATTCCTGAAAGGGCAGTCTGGTTGCCTTGGGGGTCATGTTAATTTAATTGCACATCTCTTTCACTTGGAGATTTTTAATGGCAAGAACCTAAATGGACGTAGAGCCACGGGGGCTGTTGATGGGAAGGGTGCGGGAGGAGGTGCAGAGCGGAAGCAGGGTTGGACCAGGAGGCCGTGGGGGCAGGAGCTGGTGGCTCCGGGGGCCGTAGCCGTAGCTCAGGAACACGCCCCTCGGGCACAGCCTCCTGGCTGGCTCCTTTCCAGCCAAGCATCCCAGTTCCAGGGAGAGGCTCCAGGAGCCTATACACCTCTGGGACTGTGGGAAAACAGAAGGGGGTACCGTAAGCACGGTGCCAGCAACCAGGGATCAGGGAGGGGTGCGTCTCTAAAAACAGGGTTTTCATCAGAAGCAGGGGAGAACGCAGATTTGGTGCCAGACCCACCAACTGGCCTGAGCGCCTCCCCAAAGAGCCTGTGTTCTTGGCGTGGTGAACACGAGCATTCAGGACACCCGCCCTCACCTTGACTGTGACAAGACTGGCTCTTGTTCCTGTGTTTCTCCACTTCCCATCCTTGTCCCATAACCAAATCCCCCGCCGCGTGCAATCCAGCCTGAACCAGTCCTCAGGGGTGTGCACCTACTGAGTTTTGATGATTCCCGCCCCTTAGAAGCACAGGTTTAATGAAAACAAGCCGTATTGTATTTTCTTAGGTTTGCAGAGCTTTATAGGAGATGCAGAATTTTCTTTGCAAGCAGGCACCACCATCGTGCATCCGCTTACTGTGCTTTTCTGTCCCAGGGCCCGCTGTCCCTGTCCTTCGAGGAGGACCTGCAGCAGCAGCCTCTGGAGCTGGCGGTGCAGCAAGTCTGGAGCGCGGCCAGGTCTGCCCAAGAGAAGGTGAGCCGGGAGTGGTCACCGGCGACGGGCCTCGCCTTGCCCAGGAGGCCAGTTCAAAGCTGGTGGGGGTAGTTTATTCCGCCTTAGAATTATTGAAAAGGCAGGCTCCTTACATTAAAGAAGTCTGCTCCAGCAGCTGGTGAATGGGTAAGTAAAAGATGGTCTATCCATACAATAGAATATCATTCAGCCTTAAAAGGAATGAAATCCTGACACATGCTACACGGTGGATGAGCCTGGGAGACATGCTCAGTGAGAGAAGCCAGACACAAAAGGCCACAGATTGCAGGGCCGCACTGGTGTGAAGTGCCCGGAGGAGATAAATCAGTAGGCACAGAAAGTGGCGCGGTGGTTGCCAGGGCTGGGGGGGTAGTGTTGGGGGGAATGGCGGTGTCTACTGTGGGTTCGGGGTTTCTTTTGGGACTGGTGACAATGTTCTCACAGTGAGGGCAGGGATGCTTTATATACCTCTGTGACGTGTAGCTGAAAAACATTTAAGTCTACAGTTTAAATGGGTGAATTATTTGGTGTGTGAATTATCTCAATAAAAATATACATTTATATGTATGTGTGTATGTATGTGTATGTTCTGCAATATGATATATAGATTTAAGCCATTTAGATATTATGTAGAGTTCATTTTACAGGTGCTAACCCTTCACAAGCTGACATTACTTATTGTTGGTCAAATACCATCAATAATTGTACTGATCTTTTTTTTAATGGACAGTACCTGTAAAAGATCCTTAAAAACTATCTCTTAAATACAAGGCTTATTCCTGTATCTCTCTACGTTTTATTATTCAGTTAAAAGCATCCCATGTAGCAGATGCTGAGGAAGGGACACCTCTGTGGCCCCGGATTGAGGGGCAGAGCCGTGCCAGCCCCGGAGCCCCGTCCCCCGTGCACCTGCTCCCCGCCTCAGCTGGAGTGTCGTTTGTGCATTTAAAACGTTTATCATGTTGTGCGTACAGTTTTCCTGAGCTTTCTCTGTCTAGGACATGGCAGTTTTGAGAGTCATCAGGGCCGATTTGTGGAGCTCCATTCATCGGCTTCAACGGCTATTCAGGGCTCTGGGTGGACCAGAGCTGCTCTCTCCCTCCTCTGTCGATGGGTCATTAGGTTGTTCTCTCTTTTTCACGAGTGCAGCAAAGCTGTAGTGAACTTGAATGTGTGCGGTGCCCTGACCCCTCAGGCGCAAGCCCCGGACTGAGTCGCAGGTAGGCGAGGAATTGCTGCAGGTACGCGCGCTTCGGCTTGACCCGGTGTTCCAGAACAGTGTGTGTGTGGGAGTCTCTGGAAGACATTGGGGTTCCAGGAAGAACCGGTGGCAACCACGCGGGGCTGAGTCCAGCACGGCCCACGCAGCTGGAAGCGGCGGGGCAAGCAGGGCCTCTAGTGCCCAACAGATGAGACCACGGCGCAGACCCCCGCAGGCCTGACCTACCCGGGGCCCTGCATGGGCTGCACCTTGCGGTGCAGCGCGTGCTCTCTCCGTTACGGGCACCAAGGGACCAAGCGGGCTGTTTCTGTAAGTGGTGTCGGAGAAAGTAGGCGGTTAAGGTATGCCTGTTTTGGTACAATTACAGAACTAGTGCCTGCTCATTAAAGAGACACAAACAACCCAGAAGGGTAGAAACTCTCCTTTTTTAAAGCCTGCCCGGAGCCCTCCTCCCTCGGCTCCCCCGGGGACTTTTTACCGACTGCAGGCAGATGGCAAAGTGTACTCATGGTCCTGTTTCGTTTTACAAGTTTCTTCATAGTTCTTGACTTTTATGCGTTCTTGGCCAGATGAAGAAATGAGGGCTTGTCATTGCCTTGTGCTGTGGCTCGTGCTGTCCCCGCCGGACAAGCAGCCCGGCCAGCTGGGTGGACAGGCACCGGGGCCCTGCGCAGTGTGGGAAAGGGTCCGGCAGAGCGCTGTGTGGTGGTACCACTGGGTGGCCCGGGTCGCCTGCACGCCCATCGGCAGGGACGCCCGGCCGGGACCTGCCTGGCTTCTGGGCAGCTGGAGTGAGACTGTCCCGGGTGCTTGGATCCAGTCCACGGCGCTTTTCCACTTGTGGGCAAGCATCCTGGCTGACCATGGCCCATTTCAGGGCGTCCTTTGGCAAAGGGACTGAGCCAGCCTACTCTGAGTTTCTCCCGTGCTGGTCCCCGGCGGGAGGTCCCTTCACATCCGTGCATTAAAGGAAGGCGGGCCCACAGCAGCGAGTGTTCTCGCGCTGCCTGCTGGGCAGGACGCGGACGATGCTGTCCTCCTCCCCCTCCTCTTAGGATCTGAGTGACACCGGCTGTTCCCCTCATTGGATCCAAAACTTATGTTGAGGCCTGTGTCCGCATCATCGTGCGTTCTCTCTGTCTGGCATAATTCCTGAGAAGGGAAAAACTGACAAAAGCCCAGGCCCACAACCAGATGTTATAAAAGAAGTGCAGAGGTGTGGTTTTTAAGGACACTGGCCTCCCCTTTATAAGTTCCCTCCACCGTGTCATCGCTTCCCCCCTCTAACTCAGCCCCGACACATGTGGGTGGCATTGGAGCTAACGGCAGAGACGAGCCTGCCTGGTCCAGGGCGGTCTGGCGGATAGCCACGCCTCTGAGCCCTTCGCCGAGAATGGGGGCTCTGGTCTGGTGCGGGGAGCCCCTTCCCGGCTTGGTCTCGAGTCTCCTTGAGGCCCCCAAGGGACAGAACCTGGCCTGCCCTGCTCTCTGGGTACCGTGCACCTGGACTTTTCTCCTGCAACCTCTGAAGACCCCCATGTGCCTCAGTAGTTGCTCGTGCCAATATCTGGTTCCTCAGGAACCCGCCTCAGTGTCCTGCACAGAAAGTGGGGTGTTGCTTAGAGCGGACAGAGTCGTCTCACAGGACTCCCACGCCCGTGGCCTCGGCCGAGCCCGGACAGTCCGACCTGTGTGCTCACGGCACTCCTGCCCCCAAATGTGTGGTTTCTCCTTCTACCCAACAACCGGTTCTGCAACGCTCTGGACACCAGCGGGGTGTTCCACAGTTCAGTTCCCCTCGAACACTGACTAATGCAGGACCCACAGGTTACGGGCTCGGCCCCACCAGCCTGTCCCCACATAAGACGCCACTCCCGCGTCAGGGCCAGCCCTACTCTGACCGCCCGGCTATAAAATCGGGGGTCCCCCTTCTCCTCAAGGTGCATAATGTGCTAGAACGGCTCACAGAATTCAGGAAACCCGTTCACTTACTGTTTGTGTCTGGGGTACAAGCGCAGGCGCGGCCGCGTGGAGGAGCCACGCAGGACAAGGCCGGAGGTGCCTGCTTCCCGCTCCGTCTGCCGGCCCTGCCCTCCCGGCGCCTCTCGTGCTGACCAACCCACAGCTGTTGAACCCCTCGTCGAGGGGACCGTGGGGCGCTTCTGTGACTTAGGCAGGATTGGTTAAATCACTGGCCAGTGGCGATTGAATTCAGTTTCCAGCCCCGGCCCCTCTAGGGAGGCTGGTGAAGGGCTGAAACTTTTAGCCCCCTCGTCCGGCCTCGGTCTTGCTGGCGGCGAGGCCTCCCCCTGAGCCATCCAGGGGACCCAGCCACCGGCACAGAAAGCACATCTTCTCACTCGGGAGCTTCCCAGGGTTTTTGGAGCAGGGTGCCAGGAACTGGGGACAAAAGCCAAACATTTATCACACGGAGCAGCCTTGCAGGGGTTGGGGCATTTTCCTAAGGAGAGTCTCCCCGACAGGGAGCCTGTGCTGGCCTGGCGGGCAGGGCATCTTTTCAGAAGGTCCCAAGCAGCCCTGTCACCTGGGCTCATCGCGCGCAGGCACACACTGCCCGGGCCCCGCGGCCCGGCGCCCTGCGAGGGCTGTGCGGGGAGGCCGCCCCCACCCGGGCACTCTGCAGGGAGCCGCCACCTTTACACTCCCCTCCAGAGGCTCCCTCCGCCTCCCGTCCAGCCTCCACACGCACTGAGCACTCTTCTCTCTCCCAGGCTGTAATTACGCCTGTACACAGAGCAGCGACTTTCTACCTACATTCTCTTTCCTCGTGTCCCGGGAGAGGCTCGCTTTAGAATGTGTGACCCAGAAAAAGGAACCCTTTATTTCAATATTGCCCGCGGACTACGAGCCAACTCTTCCTCCACACGGTGCAGCAACAACCCTCCCCGGCACGTCCTGGGCTCCCAGGTCACATCTCTGGGCTCCAAGTCCTAGGTGCAGCTCTGCAGGCGTGAGGCCCAGGAGTGTGGCGTGGGAACGCCGCGGCGTGCCTCAGGGTTTGGGGGGCCTGCGCTGTGACAGGCGCTCTGTTGAGGCAGCCATACGCTGCTTTTGTTTCGGGAGCAGACCGAATGTCTCTTTGAAATAACGTCTCTTTGGAAAGCTTGACAGTTAACACGCTGGGAGCAACCTTTAGTGACTGGCAGCATTGCTGGCTTTCTTAGCATGAAGCCAGGTGTCATGGGAAAAGCATTCCGTGTCTGGGATTGCAGCACCATTTGGAAATAAATAGAAGCTTCTAATTAATGATCAATCGGGGGTCCAAGTTTTAGATAAGCGTAGTGACCCGCCAGCATGGTCGGGGGCGGGGGCCAGCTGTGAAGCCGGGGAGACACTGGTTGGATCGGGACTTGTTTTGGGGGCTCCCTTCTCTCCTGAACCGCAGGTGCTGTGTCTGTCCAGTGTTCATCCCTCCCTGGCAGGGATGGGAGCGCAGCAGCCTGCGCGCTGCCCTGCGGGAAGGCAGGAGCTGCCACATCTCCACTTCCGATGCCATCAGGTGTGGCCAGGCTGGGCAGTGGGCTCGAGTCCATTCTTATTGGGCTCAAGCGCTCCCCTGCCCCAGCAAGTATTGTGCTCACTGCACAGGGGAGAAAACTAAGGCAGAGAGAGTCCAAGTCGCTCGGCCAAGGTGACGAAGGGCAATTAAGTAGTGGAGCCTGGATTTGAACCCCGGTCGGCCTCCAGAAATGAGCTCCAACTACCACACACTGTAAACAGCACCATGACTATTATTTTTGTATTTTTTTTCTTAGTT